CACGGCTCATAAAGCTGTTTAAGATGAATTTCCCGCTGACGTCATGCTGATAACCATTACGGTGTATGTAGCTATACTTCCATGCAGCACCAAAACCGCAACAAATCATTCCCTTATCCTCAGTTGTACTTCGCAAATGAAGCGTACGAGTATCAGGATTAGTCGGACATTTGTGGGCGGGCAGGCGCGGGAGCTTCCAGGTCGGTATGTTGTAGCTTGACAGGGCGCTATAACGGTACCTTCCTTGGGAAAGGTGCTACTCAGCGCCTGCTAATGGGCGCGGAATTCCGTCCTTGGAGGCGTATAAATTTTAGACGTTTCGGGGACCTATCCTGCCCCTTGCTTTCGAGAGCAGCTCATGTTTTTTTCCTTACAACAATTTGAATGTACCTAAAGGCAGATTACGCATTTTCGGTTCTTGGGCAGTGGTCTTCATTAATAAAGTGCAGGGGTGAGCTGATTCACAGAGGAAACATGGAAAAAACGCTCTCATGGTCAGTAAGACCCTCTCTTCCTACAACCGATCATGTTTACTTACGATCGTGTCTTGGTAGGATCAAATGGCGCGAGAGGCAACGCTGCTCCGATGGTGAGACCAAAAAACGATGTTCGAGAGAGCACAACGGCACTTCCGACGCTAGCTTGCTGCGCATTTCGTGCGACTTTTCAAACTCTGAGGGTGGTACATTCGTTTTCACTGTAAGACGCCGGGGCGTATCAGGGAGAGGGGTGGCGTCAGTCACCTGTTGTTAAATAGGCAAGTGACCACAATTGATCTAAAGCGGGCTCACGCCGCGCCGAACCCAAGCTATCTGACGCGCTACAGCGTCTTCGAAGAAAATGACTATACTCCCTCTGCGATCGCGGACCAGGTCACCTGGAACACTTCACACGCTCTGGCATTATTTTATCGCAAACGCGTGCCTTTAACATGCATATAGGCTTTTATTTCATATCCATTAAGTAAGTTATGGGCCTGGTTTCTCCGAAGAGGCATTAGATAAAGACGCTGGCATATAGAAAGTGCATTAAACTTCTGTCCACATAATTTTCAATGTTGTCAAGTCCTATAAACTACCGTGAACCTATGGAGTGGTGCCGGTTTCATTTTATATGATAACATTACACGGCGCGACTGATTGCAAGTGATAAGACACAGGTTCCTGTTGCGCCATGAAGAAGATCCACTGCTCGAATGAAACGAATCGAACTGTTCGCCGAACAGTGATGCTATTTCCGGCCAGTTGTTGGATGAGGGATATCCGCAACAAGAAAATTGTTTCTTGGGCTGCTTGTAATATCTAAAGTGAAATAAAATAACGTAAAAAGGAATTGACGTGGTGGACAAGGCCATTTGTTTTAGGTAAAGCCATCCAGGTTAACCCATTTCCACGAAATGGGATAACCGTTTTACCGTTGAAGGGCTTGCTTGCTCCTTGCGCAAGCAGACCTATGACAAAAACCTCATTCTCAGACCTGGACCTCCAACCGTTGGACATAGATCGTTTGTGAGCATTTCCAAAACGGATTTACTGGTCAATATCGTGCGTCGTATGCCGCATAGTTTCGCCTGCGCTTGTGTGCCAACAAGAGTTGGTACCGGCGTGCCAAACAGCAGGGGGCGTCTGGGTTGCCAGCAGGTGATCATAGTGGGTGTTTTGTTTGGCAACTAGCTTGTGCAAGTGTTGACAACTTGATAGAAACTGATTGAAGGATGCTGGATCGTGAGCATGACACCCTAGCCGTAGCGCCCGCACTTGCAGGAAGCTGGTTCCAAGGAAGCTGGTTCCAGCAGGTGGTGAGGACTGGGATATCACTGATAGGTGACAGAAAATCAAAATGTTCGATAAGTGAGTTCGCCCCTTGATAAAGTACGAACCAAAGCATGTTTGGCCGCAGGATGTTGAAGGGGGGGCATACATATTGTGCGCATGAAGTATGAGAAACTATAATGAAACAGTTTCTAAGGCTATGGCACAAAATGCCATTAAGCTGAGAAGGCAAGAGTGGCGGTATGCGGGAGATGCGGGTTCGAGTCCCGTCCCGGGTCCGACTTTTGCCAATATCTCAGCATTCTTGTGATAACTTTCGGAGCGCGCACTGCGGCGTTAAACAGCAGGTTATGAAGCTGAAACAGCTTCAGAAAATGTTTCTGTAAGCTAAATCCGTGTCCTATTATGTTTCAAGAAACACTTATGTTTCAGGTTAGGAAGATCGCAAACCAAAAAGGGGTTTAAGGCTCAGGGTGGTGGTACCCTGTTGGCTGGAAGCACTATGCCCCACCCCCTGACATTGAAAACGCGCGACAGTGTGCACCCATCAAGCATTGAGGGTAAAACAAAGAATTTGTTCTGGGGACAAAACTCGAATGATTTAGTAGCCTAACAGCGTTCTACAATTTAATCTGTGTGTGGGCAGGAATCACCAGAATGCCTTCCGCCGAAGTTAACAGCACTGATTCGACATTGTTGGACCATGCTTCCACTTCATTCGCAGGCATAAACACATCTGAATAAGAGTTGTTTGTTCAAATTATTTGCATGCAGTGGTCGATGTTTTGTTCCCACCAAATGTTTTAAAGTCAGCAAATCTCTGTACTTTCCCCAAACTGTTTTTCATCGGGAATCTCCTAACTTATTCTCATTTCAGATAACATGCTTCTTTATCATTTTTGGTACGGTGTATTTCTTGGAATCTATTGGAGGCTTTTACATGACGAGGTGAGAAAGGATTTGTTCTCGAATAGTGCAAGTTTTATTGAATCCAGAGCAGTAGAATATAACATACCGCTACCTCAGTTTTCGAGCTTCGGCTTTTGTTCACCAGATTTTATCAGCGCCATTGAAGGGGGGGGAGCATATAACCGACTCTTGCGGTTAACAGACTAGCGTGATGGAGTGAGGACTGGCTCAAATCTGTAATCGATTCGGTGTGGGTGAATCTATGGTATAGGTAATCCTTCGCCGATTGAGGCAGTCCCAGTTCTGCACGAGGAGCAGAACTGGGACTGCCTTAGTCAGAGAAGGGTTACCATACCAATATTAACACTACTTTTTGAAGTTTTTTACTCTTGGCGCCTGTTTAAAAGACTCTGTTCAATCATGGCAGCTAATGAAAGTTGCATAATTAAGATGAAATATAGCTAGGTTCCCAGTGGTTTCGATGATATGGGCTCATTTTTTCGTTTACGGCCCATCAGGCAATTTAGTATTTACTCTTTTGCCATCTTCCTTTCCACATGTGTTAGCTTATTTATAGGGACGCATGTTATTATTTTATATTATGATATTGGTTTTTGTAGCAGTGGAGAGGGAGATGGGTACATTGCACAGTGGGGCGCTCACCATTCGCGCGGTCCCGGGTTCGAATCCCGGGTCGACTCCCGCCCAGGCCAACCAAGCCTTCTACCCTCCGGGGACGGTGAATTGGTACCAGATTCGTCTGGGAGGATAAAACACTGACTTGTACATCGGCTGGCCCCCGCAAGTCATTGTATAGGCCACATCGCATTCAATAACCCACTACGATTCTGAATGGAAGTAGAATGCGTGCCGCATCCCACAAAGGGATTGATCAACGGCGAAGACTTTATCCTTTATCCTTTTATGGTTTGTACAATGATATTACGTTGCTTTATTCTTTACTTGCTTAACACACTTCCTTGTTCGGTTCCTCTCGATGGGGGCATTTTTTTCGTCAAATGTTAGCGATGACTTCACCGCAGGCGTTTTAGATCCCTTCTGTAAGTCGCTGAAGCGATGCTAATTAGCATAACTGCCAGATCTGAGGCGGTCTAAGTTACGGAACATACCTAATGCAGAAGACTATATTAAATCCGCTCCTTCCCCCCCTCCCCCCTTTCCTCCTATTCCTCTTAACGGCACAGCCGAGCACTTCCTGCACCGATCTTCACTAATTTCATTCTCTCAGTCGTTTTTTAACTTCATGATGTGTCCAAACTCAACCAGATAACAGTGGCTCGTTTGAACTGAGACAGGGACGAAACGAACCATCTGCAGTGTGGTCCATTGCGGATTATAGAGTATCTCGGCGCGGTTGATTTCAGACGCTGCCAAATCTACTCTCCATCGGTTTCTCAAAGGGGAGTGACGACAATTAGTGAAAAACTACTGATCGAACGATATGATACAATCTCACCGTTTGCCGAAAGAAAAACACGGGTTGGTGCTGCGTCAAACAATGCCGCGCGGACACGCCCCGTCATCCGCAACGAACCAGGCTATATGTTTTGCAGTAGTTCTCAGACTCATGTTTATTTATTTGTTTTTTCTAGTTTTCCAATAGCCACTATACTATTCTGTTTTTCAGTGCCATCGTTTATATCGAAAAGCAGTTCCAAATTCCGTCGAGACTTAGTGGCACAATGGTCTCTGCTTCGGATTTCGCTTATATTCCTGTTATCGTATTTACGAGTTATTTCGGGGGACAGGTAAGATTTTGTTGCTCATACGTCTTCCATCTAAGCATTGTGCACGGAAAATTGATTTTTTTTCTTTCGGAGCAATATGCTGCACTTGGTCGTTGGAGACCATTTGGGGGAGGGGGGGAGAGGCTAGTCAACCATAGCCGCGGCAAGGGCTGCAAAG